ATGCGGCTGGCCTGGTCCAGGAGGCTGCTGTACTCGAGCTCCTCACAGAGCCGCTGCAGAGTGTTGAGCGGCTCATTGAGCTGCACGGGCATCGACACCTTGGACAGGTCCTTGCCGATGTTGTTACGCAGAATGTTCCACAGGCTCACGTCGACCCCAGGCCCACTGGCCGCCGGCAGGCAGCGGCGACGGGGCGGCCCCAGAGCTCTCCCTGGAACACACACCCCTGGGGCCCATCCCAGCCATGTCACTCTGGCACCCAGACACGGCAGGCCCGCAGCCCGGCCCACAGCCCAGAGCCCACTGTCTCCCACCCCAAGTCCCAGCCTGGACTCACTAGGGGGGCAAGGCGGCTGGGAATCTAATTCTTTTATTTTTTTATGTATTTTTATTAATTTCAGAGAGGAAGGGAGAGGGTAATAGAAACATCAATGATGAGAATCATCGATCAGCCGCCTCCCACACGCTCCCCCCCCCCTTCCCCCGCACCGGGGATCAAGCCCACAATCCAGGCATGCGCCCCCGACCGGAACCGAACCCGGGACCCCTCTGTCCGCAGGTCAACTCGGAATCTAATTCTTGACATGCTCTGGGGGGACCCTGTACCCCAGAAACCCTTTCTGAGTCCCCACCCCTGCCTTCTGTTCCTTTCATAAAGGTAGAAACTGATGTCAGGATGTAGATTGTTCAGCCCGTTTTACAGATGAGGACACAGGCTCCAGCAAGTCCAAAGCCTCACTGCTGAGAAGTGGCAACGTGGGGTCTTCTCCGTCTCTAAGGCCCTACCTGACCCTTTTCAGAAAACTAGAATGGAGACTCGCCCCAGACCAGAGCCGGTCCCACCTCTGGAGCCACTCCTGGAACATTCCAGAGCTTACGGCTTAGCCTTCCTCACCTCCTGGGTCACCTCTGGAGTCAGCACCCAAAGACACCAGTCACCACAAGGGACTGCCTCCCCAAGGGGCCTGGGCTGTGGCCACCTCCGCCCCTCCCTGCCCAAACACCTGGCGGGCACCTTTCTGATAGCGCTCAGCTCCCCTGAGGTCCAGCACCTCCTCGGACAGGCTGGTGGTGATTTCACTGACGCTCGACTCCTCCTCCTCTGAGCCCTGGGCCGGGACAGATGACAGGCCGGGCAGACTGGGCCTCCCCCGGGCAGCTGGGCAGTGCCCAGGGCCTGGCAAGACTCTGCCCAGCTAGCCCTTTGGTGGGAAGGGGAAGAGAATATATTTGGGGAGGTCTGAGCCCTAAGACACTGCCCCGAAGGCCTGGCATACCTGAGGGAGGGCCTGGCCGTATGAGTGGGGCAGGAGGTTATGGGGGAAGGAGTGGGGCG